TGAACTCCCGTGGGTTTAAGACAGGCTCTTCTCTGAATGCCCCTGCCTCATAGACAACTCGGGGATGTCCCCTGCCAGTCTGGTGAGAGGGCAGTGGGGAGAGGCAAAGACGGTGCCGGTGGTGTTCGGGGAAGCAGCTCGAGTCTGTGGCCAGGAGGGAACAGATGTGGCACTGGGGACAGATGTGGCACTGGGCCTGGTAAAGAGAGGCTCTGAAAAAGTGGCTCACTGCTCTCTGAAGCCAAAATGTGTTTGAGAGGAACTTTCCCAGAAGAAATGTTCATTCTGCGTCTGGAGTTACTCATTCCATGTCATTCCTGGAAAGGTGCTTGCAACATTTTGAAATATCTAAGTATCAACAGTGATGGGATGATGCAAACTGCATCAGGAGGGGCTATTACAAGCTTGGGGAGCACGTATGAGCCTTGCTTTTGAGTTACATTTTGCAGTTCTGGATGTTTTGTTTTTGTCTTCCATGACCTGTATTCTCTTCCATCTATGCAAGTGAGCTGCGGCTGCCAGTGAGCTGAAAACTGGGAGCAGAGATGAAAATAATTATGGGCAATAATTATGGGCGGGGATGGAAATAAAAGTGCTCCCAGGTGGCTTCCTGCCTTTTGCATGGCTCGGACCTGCTTACAAGAGCAGGGGAATAGAGAGCTCTTAGCTGGTCCCATGCTGAGAGTAAAGTACATCCTTGCCTGCAGGGAAAGCACTGAGAATACAAATCCGTGCTTCAGAAAGGTGGATGACACAGGGTCGTAAAGTTTTCATGAGAACCACTTTCTTATGGAGTTTGGGTTGTTCAGTTTATCAACAGTTGCTTCGAAATTAAATTTCAGTTGTTCACAAATAAGATGTGTTAGCAGGAAGAGAGAAAACCGAGCAAAACGGCAGTAGTTGGATTAGGCCAGCAAAGGGTCCTGCTGACCCTTCTGCATGCTGTGATCAATACCGCTAGCTCAAAGGAAACCACAGCAAAGCTTTCAGTGATGTTGGTGTTACCTCCTCCCAAAATCAAGCTTGCACCAGTTTATGCTGGTGATGAGCTTGCAATTCGCATTTCCCAGGATGAGAAGATGCCAACACCATGCCAATGCTAGGACTGCTCCAGCATTGATGTTCCCACAATGGGACCCCTCATTCCTCATTGTAGGATGCAAACCGCGGGCATGCTCCAGTGGCCAGCAGAAACTGAGCCATTTTCTGTCATTCAGACACTTAGAAAACACAGCAGGTTGCCAAGTCTCCAACAAAGAAGCTGCAAAATTACCAGCAACCCACTACTTACTGCTCATTAACCACTTCTTAGTTCTGTAAATGCCTTAGATTGGGCTTCATTTATGAGCGCTTCTGTTTTTCTTGGCACTGCCGGACCCAGGGTCATGCCAGAGTCACTGGAAATCCCTGTTTCCCTTTCCTTGGTTGAATTTGCCTCCCTTTTTTAGCGAGCGTGCAGGCAGATGTAACCTGAAGGACAGTGCATGCTGCCGGCGCTTGTAAAAATAGTTACGGCGTGTGAACGGGATGGAGCCGCTCTATTTTCTGCTGCCTTGTCTGCAGCAACAGCATAAAGGCGTTAAGGAGCTGTGGTTGCTGCAGGAGGTGTTGGCAGCGGGGGCTGTTGATCCCCTCCAACCGACAGCGTGGGCTGTGCTACCTGGCCTGCCGCGGCCATCGGCTTGGTATAAATAATAGCAGTGTATGCAGTCCCTGAAAATCAGTAGTTGATATAGTGAGGCATTATGCTGAGACACAGAATATACACAGACGCAGTCTCAATACAGTATATAAACATGCCTGCTGCACTGTACATGTCCTGTCCATCCCAGCTAGGGAATATGTATTTTTTTTTGCATGAAAGTCATAGCAACTGGCTGATACAGCTGAATATGGTAAAAGCTTTATAGGGAGAGTGAAGGTTGCTTGTGGCAGGGGAAGGAACCAGGCCATATTCAGGCTGTTTGACTTAGAGGCCCTCCTCTGACGATTCTGGTCAGAATTGGTTTTCACTTTCTAAGACACCATCTCAGCTGTCGCACTCAAGTTAGGTTGGCTAGGAGCCTGGACTAGTCCTGGGCTGCGTGCAAGTCCTTTTTTGACTCTAAGTATATTCCTCTTTCAATAGCTCTTCATTTTTCCAAGGGGGGTTTGGCACAGGCAGTATTATCTGTCTATTATCTCTCTCTGATCTATTTTATTGCCTAAAACTCTCCCTGCCTTCCCTCAGGTGAGTTCAGACAGGTCTGGGTGACGGCCAACAAGCTCAAAGACATAGAATTGACAACTGGCTTTTATTTTGCTTCATTTGCTGCTGAATCTGCTCCAGAGCATCCCTAGTAACCTCCTGAGGTCTCAGAGCAATGTGGGGGCCTTCCTCACATGCTCCCAAGTATGGGTGGCTGTCCCTGAGATCTGGGCACAGGGTGGGACACCTGGGGTCTGCAGGACACTGGGAATTCTGCCTCACGCTGCAAATCCCAGCCTGCCTGCAATCCCGGCCTCCCGGCCCCAAAACCTGCCCACTTGGCCCCAAACCAAAGGTGGGGCAAACCTCTGCAATGTCTTTGGCAGCTGCTGCTCTCAAAAGATGGTGAGATCGGGGGCTTTGCCCTGGCTCTCCAAGGGGGTGGAAGCAGCTGCCCAGCATGGGGGAGCGAGCCGTGCCATGCAGCCAGCTTGTACCTTCAGCTGTTTTGTCCTAAAATACCCACTGGTGTAATTTTTTTACATCCTACAGTCTTTACCCCAAGCTGTGTATCTCACCCTTAAATGGAGTTATATTTTTAATTGCTGGCAGAGTTGTATTATTAGACGCAAGCCTGCTGCTAATGTGCTGTGTGGCTCTGCAGAGAGCTCGATGAATCTACCTCATCTTGCAGACAGGCAGGGATGAATCATCCTGCTCATCTGCAGCCAATGCAGGTCCTAAAATGTGTCTTCTCCCAATCAGGCTTATTGCCGAGACCTCCACTTGAGGGAAAAGCCCACTTGAAAGCTGCTCTCCAGCCCCATTATCCCGCTGAGAGGCAAGGGAGTGCTGCATGGTGGGTGTCTGCACAGCAGCACCGGCCACTTGCTGCCTGTACAGCGAAATGTCAGCCCTGTTGTGGGGAAAATCTGACCAGTTGCTCCACAACTGGGTACCAGTGGTAGCCCGTCTCAGGGGACCATGGCAAGTGCGCAGACAGAAGATTGGTCTCCTAGCCGTGGAGTAGCAAAGAGGCTTCCAGAAATGAGTGTGGATTCATGAGCCCACTGAAATGGGAATATTTAGTTGCCCCCCTAGTCTGGATGAGCTAACCATGGGGAAATAACAGGGTAAAGGAGCCTACAGGGAGGCATGGAAGGAAGGTGTGAGGAGGCATTTTGGGGCTGCCTGGATCACCCCTGCAGCACGGCACTTTCTGGGGACGCCCAGGGCTGGAACGATGCACTGCAAAAGCCACAGCAACAGAACACCATGGGAGCGTGGCTGCCTTCCCTCTGGGATGCTCATATCAGCCATTTGGGAAATGTTCCAGGCTGGGTGTTACCTGGTGTTTAAACAGACACACTTTTCAAAACATAAACTATTGCTGTGTGTGTATCTAGTGGCTTTGGATCAGTCTCTACCATAGATTTTTAAAGACTTGGTTATCTAAGGATGCTGATAGAAGCTGAAGCAGGATGCTCAAATGCCACCCTCTTAACAGGAGCTGGCATCCAAGGAGCTTTGAAAGTAGGCTTCTTTCTGCCTAAATAATTTTTAAACTCTGGGCCGTACTTGCTCAGGGCCCTTTTGTTTAGTTTTGATGGAAGAGAAAGTTCATGCTCATTGTGAATGAATGCACTACACAGCCTCCAAGGTAGCCTTTCTGTACATTAGTATTAAAGGGTTTTTTCACCTACCAAGACCAGGAGCTGAATTATATTTCACAGAAAGTAGAGGACTTTCTAACTATGTCTTCTTTCTGCTGTCAAAGAGCATGTAGGAATTACAGTAGACAATAAGCTGCTAGACCAGAGCAGTGGGGCTGTAACAAAATGAGGGACAATTAATTAATTGATTAAAACAACTGACAAGTCTATGAAAGTGCAGTCAGTACATCAGTCCACTGAAATTCTGTATCTGAGAGCAAAAGAAAATACTTTTCCAATTCTTAGCAAATGACTTCACTTTGTAACTCATTAGTAGCTCAAATGAAGTGTTAAAGTAAATCTCGAGGAAGTGAGTCAGAGTTGGAGGACAACTGAAGTCTTCAGCTGGTTGTATTGCAATTGCTGGGAGCAGCAGTGTTGGAGGACAGACAACATTTTGTCCTGTTCTACAACTTCAGTACTTGCTCTCTTTCACCCTAAGCTCTTCAGTGCATTGGTCCCTGCACTCCCTTGGCTCTGGTACTGCAGGGAAGGGGATCCCTGTTGAGTGGGGTCTGCAGTGTCCGCAGGGACGCAAGGTGCCTACTGCGTGGGGACGCAGCCTGCCTCTGCTACGCAGCATTCGCGCAAGAAGCAAAGTCAGCCTTGCACGGTGCATTTGGGATACAGTTTGATTTGTTTTCTTATCCTTGTTTAAGAAAGATCTTCTGGTAAGCATGAGCCAGGGGTTTATCTGTGTTTTGCTGGAAGGGGCACTACCTGCCAGAGTCTTTTCAAGAATGGGCTTTTTTTGCTGTTTACTGAGGCTGCAGTTATAGATGGCGTGGGGGGAGACTGCAGCCTTTCTCTGCTGGGCTGAATCATGATGCCGACACTTCTGTTGCAGAGCCTGAGCCGAGCATGCAGTGTCTCAGCTAAATCTGATTTTCAGTCCTTTTTTTGCAGATCACGCAAGTCAATTAATTCCCCCTACTTCTGTTTCCCTTTTACACCAAATGGATCCTATAAACGTTCCAGTGATAAAACATTGCAGCAATTTCCACATTTCCAAGATTACACTGATAGAGTACGTTCCTGGAAATCACTTTCTGTTTTCTGCTGCTAAAAATTTGGGGGGGCCAGAGCCCTAAGTACTCTCCCTACACCTCAGTTAGAGTCTTGCCCTTTTCACAGTCCCATGGGGATGTCCGTTAAGTACAGAGGCTGATGTAGAGCTTTGCAGGAGGCAAAAAGGATTTTTTTCTGTCTCTCTTCCAGCTGCCCTTAAGCTCAGATGCTGCAGTTCATACTTTTCTTAATCAGCCTCATTTAAAGCAAGTGCCCATAGAAAAAAAAAATGTTTAGTTACCTGTATATAAAGCTTTTTGTTTTAGTAGAGAAGAATTTGGGTTTGAAGAGACAAAGGGCCAGTGAACTGAAATTCTTGATTGGGAATGTTTGGGAGAGTAAATTACCTTGGAAATGAAAGTGGTGTTGCTACATAGCAGGATAATAAACCTTATGATGTAACAGTGTGTTGAGATTAGAATATACTGACTATGTAGGAAGAAAAGGTATCTCCTCTTTGCCACAGGAAACAGAAGAAATGAGAATTGTTATGGATATTATTTCTCCTTCTCTTCCTTAAAAATTATTTGAAGTGATGGAACATAATACTGTGATAAGAGAATTACTTACAGGTCTGGTACATGCTCCTGTCTAACTGTCATTCCACTCCTATTTCTCAGCCTCTCAACATTGCCTACAGTCACATCTATAGCTCCTACCGCAATTTTGTGGGACCACCTCATTTCAAGACTATCTGCAGGCTTCTTGGCTATCAAGGCATCGCGGTGGTCATGGAAGAGCTGTTGAAGATCGTCAAGAGCCTGGTAATTCTGAGCCTAACCCTGGCGATGGAGAAACCTCAATGCCTTGAGAGGCGCAGGTTGGACAGTCAGCCTGGGCTTTGGGTTCTGGGTGTTCCCATCTGGGCACGTTCATGTCCCTTGATCCACACTGAAACACTTGTGTTAACGGTCTGATTCTCACTGTTACTGAGGAATTCCACTGATTTCTGTGGGATGATGGGGTGTTTCCAGCATCTTGAAGCGTTAACTGTGACCAGGCACCTCCATCTAGGGGTGGTGGAGTTGGCATGCTGCTTTGCTAAAAGCCTCTGGAAAGTGATCGGGTGGGACATGGTACTCACGGTCCCTCAGCACTGCCTGTGCTCCAGTCTGGGAGACCTTCAAGACATGTGCCTGTGCTCAGCAATAGCACAGGAGCACTCGGTCTCACCTCCTTGTGATACCCCTGGAGAGATGCAGGAATGTAGAGAGCAGGCAGCAAAACCAACTTTTTGAGTCTTTGTAAGAAAATTCCTGCTATAGGTGAGTCCTTCTTCAAGCCATACTGTCCATTTCCATCAGGTATTCTGAAGCCAGGCTGCCAATAGCCCTCTCTGCTTTCTAGTTCTCTCTTCTTTTTCAGAAGAGAAATGTGGTATCCATAGGGAAATGATCCCATGTGCTTCCTAAGGGCACTAACAATACGGAGCATTAAGAAGGGAGGAGGGAGTGTGCAAAAATGTATAATTTTTCAGGTCATGCTTTTCTACTAAAACCCATGCTTTACTGGAAAGGCAATTTTCATTCATATAAATATTTAAATTCTGCTTTGGCTGCAATGACGTCATTTTGAACTTGTCTAACAAAGCAGTGTAAAACTGAAAATTTCAAGTGTGTATCTAGTTTCCCTACTATAAAGCACCATAGTTACTGAAGATGTAATTTGTGTCACTTAGTTGAAAATGCTGTAGCTGGTGTGTGAGATCAGACAGCACTCAGCACAAAGACAAAGATTTTATGTTTGGCTAAACAGTGTCTAGTGCATAATCCCATATAATGTATCTACAGGATGCAGGTGTCCAACTCCAAATGACAGCAAGCACTTTTAACTACAAAATATACTTTGCTCTTGTCCATATTAGTTCAAAACATCAGATGTGCAGAAACTTGTTCTATATGCATGTAAATTCCCTTTGAAACTCTGAGTATCTGGTGATCATTCCTCAGGTGGAAGGAGCATTTCCTGTGCTGGGGAATGACTCCTTTAGCAGCTCTGGTGAAATGCTTTTTGGCTTAGGAGCACAAGTCCTGCTGGATCTAAGACTGAGCCTTGTTTGGATTTCAGCTGCAAACAATGCAAACACAGCAAGCTGTATTTTGAAGTTGAAAATCCCTGCAGCTGTGATTTATTATTTGGGAGGAAGCTGTAAAAGCACTCTAACTTCATACACTTGGGCTGAATGTTATATTTGAGTGAAATCCAAATTAAGCAAGTTCTTCTTGAACTCCAGCTGAAGTTTCATCCTGTGCTGTCAGATGTGGACCCATCCACAACCAGCCTCATTCAAAACCAGCGCCAGGAGAAGCCATCATTCCAGCTTAACCTCCCTTTGTCTCCAACAGCTACAAGGCACCATCCTGCAGTATGTGAAGACTCTGATCGAAGTAATGCCCAAGATATGCCGCTTGCCAAGACATGAATATGGCTCTCCAGGTGGGTGCTACAATTAGATGCTTGAGCAAGAGCTCGCCCACGTGTTGGTACAGCATTTACTCAGGCAGACACTAGTAATTAAACATGGTTTGGCACCTGACATGCTGGTACAACATGCAGCCAGGCTTGCTGAGACACAACTTTCAGCTGCTTTGCTATTGACGCTGGAACACGTGTAGGAAACTTTTCCAGGAAATCTCCTGTTGGAAATTTCCCTTTGACCACACAGATGGCTGGTAAGGGAATGTCTTCTGGTAGCTTCTGTTTTGCTTTCAGGATTTTGTAAGCTTTTGTTATTGTGGGTTCACAGATATTTTTCAAAAGCTCTACTTAGTTGATGAAAGATTTTTTTTCAGGATGACTGCAGTCTGCCATTGAGCTGGATGGGGAAACTCTCGCTGGTATACATGAGCCAGCACTAAGACATCTACTGCAGTCTTGAATCTCTTTTTTTCCTCTGATGAGGAAATCAAAGGACTTCATATGAATTACTCCCTATTTCCCAAGGGTTACTGAAAGCAGGGTAAGACACTGCGTGCTAGTTCTCCCCAATGCCAGTCTCTGTCTATCCACGTAGCAATTAAGGCTTGCAAAATTTGTGATTAAGGAAATATCAGGCACTGACTATCTTTTTATCCAAGTTATCGGAGGGTGATTCTGCTCTCGCTTTTCTGACTGTCCTTCCTTGTCTCTTAAGGAATCCTGGAGTTTTTCCACCATCAGCTGAAGGACATCATTGAGTACGCAGAGCTGAAGACCGATGTGTTCCAGAGCCTCAGAGAAGTGGGCAATGCCATTCTCTTCTGCCTCCTTATCGAGCAGGCTTTGGTAAGGCAAAACCCCCTGCACCAACAGATTATACTTGAAATTGCAAGCTCAAGAGTATAAGTGGAAGTGGGCTCTCCAGCAGAAGAGTTTGGGAAATGTTACTTTCCAGCTTCTCGTGCGCTCAGGGTCTCTCTGGGGCTGTGTTACTGGGGTCTGTGGGCATGTCCATGGGGATGATGTGCATCGGTGCTTGGTCACTGACATCTGGGATTGCTGAAGGAGAATCTGAATACTGGAAGATCTAGATTTAATTCTTGGACCCAAAGCTACCCCTTGTTCATCCTTCTCAGAAATCAAACCATTTGGAGCTTATTTCTAGATTATAAGCTCTCTGGGGCAGGAATCAATACTTCTTTATATACATATTTGTACAGTGAGAAGTAGATTTGAGCCCTTTGCTCTTTTGGGGTGTCAGTGCAATAAAAAACCCATGATTGATTCTAGTGGTGATAAGGATAAAGCAATCCAACAGGAAGGAAGTCCCAGAAGAGCTGATGATATATTTCCTATGACATCTTCACTGAAAACTTAGCTGGAGTGACAACTTGGTATTGCCTCCTGCACAAGTGTTTTGCACGTGCACAAGTCTCTCAGCTCCTGTGATGCCCTTTCTGTTATGGGGCAAAGGCTATGGCTGAGTGCCACACATCTTCTTAGCTTTTAGTTTTTCACACAACAAACTTACTTGGTGATGAATTTATCTCACAGTTTGGCCTAGAGCCAACTAAGGAGTGTTCAACAACACAATTTTACATTAAAAATGCATATTTCATGTCGTAATGCTTTTTGCAGGGTTGTTTCAGTTTTTCCAGAAATATTGCAGAAAGACTTCCCTAGCATAAGATGGAATTTCCAAGCAAAGCCAGAAAGTTTTGTTTAGAGCAAAACCAGAGGAAGTTCAAAGATTCCAAGTTTTATCCAACCATAGAGCACAGGGAAAACTGAAAATCTCTGCATGTCCTCAAAATGGATATTTCTGCCCTTGCCTTTGCATTTTAACCCCCGATGTAGAGACTTTTAGTTCCCGATACGGTGTATCAAACACACTCCGTGAGCAGTAGTTGCATAAGATTAAGAAAACTAGACACATATATATATATCACCTAGCAGCTTGGCTTTATTTTATAGTATGACCAGAATTGCCAGCTATATCCTGGCAGTTTCTGTTCCTTTCGTGGCTTCGTCAGTGCTTTCTGCTGTTCTCAGTGTTGGATTTTATGCTGGATGTACTGCATTTGCCTTTTCCATCCCATCTTTAAATGGACACTTAAGGGACACATGGTGGTTTCTTTTAGAAATCTTTCATTTCAATGCAAAAATGTTCCTCCAGTCCCAGGAGCTGTACATCAGCAGTATACTGGCATTTTAGAATAGCAGAAAATAAAGAAAAGAAGATGGTGAGAATTTGGGGGTCCCTTTAGGAAGGCTGCCCATCAAAGTCCATATCTGCCCACTTTCTGTGCCAACCAAAGCCTCTCCCTCTCTGATTCCTTGTTTTTCCACACAGAAATAGATTCAGAATGTAAAGCCATTTTGCATGCAGCAGACACTGGTTCTCGCTTGCTGGAAGATGTCAGATGCGTAGAGCCATCACGTTACAAGATTTTCCCTCTAATGGAGCTCTTATGCAGCAGGAGCAATTGCTTTTACGGTGCAGTTATCTTCAGAGCTGTCAGAATGATCTAAGGCTGGTGGTATTTGCTGGCAGAGACTGCTGTAGTGAAGATGCTCGGTCTGCTCCATTCTACTCCTTTTTTATTGTTTACATTTGAGGAATGAGGTGTTGCTTGGGACTAAATTCCTAAACAGAATTCTTAATCTCAGGTAATGGGCCTTGGGGAGGAGATCATTAATAGCATGACTAATTTTGGGACAGATATCAGGTGAATGCAGGCTGCAAATGGTGAAAATACTCTCTTTTACCAGAGAGAAACAGCAGTGAAAGAACATTCATCTAGGAACGAATAGTGTTTTGCAAACAAAACCACCAAGGTGACTGGCACTCTCTGTTAGCATCAGCATCTCCCTGCCCATGGAGGGACCCTGGGCAGTTCCTGTCCCTCCAGCACTGTGTCACAAACTGCACTCCCACAAACTCGCTCTCATCCCAGCATCCACGCTCCAGTAAAGCCTCCTGCAGCTCCATGCTACACTGTCCTCTCCCTCTTGGCTGGAAGGTGGGGTATCCACCCGTGCCTCCCAAACAGACCCAGCTGAGTCATTCCATCTGGCCCCCAAATATCTTTTGCTGCGCTGTCATGACCTGCTTTCGAGTGTGTCTAAATCTCTACAATAAGCTCAGAACTGAAAGCATGCCCTAGAACTAGACTTTTGTAGGAGCAAACTAATGCCTTGTTGTGACGCAATGCCTCTGTGTTAAACAGCTTTGGTTTCCTTGCTGCTGTTTCCCATTGCAGACTCGTATACAATGTATTGTCAGCCATCGCTCCTCAGTCTCCACCTGCCTATTCCTAGGTTTCTACTCCTTGTGCATCTGTGTTTGGGATTATTTTTTCTCAAGTGCATCGGCATGCATTCTCTCAGGTGGCATCTCATGACGTTATTCCTCTCTGGACTTCTGTATGGTGCCTACACCACTGGGATTCTAGTTTGATAGCCCTGGCTGAGAACACCATAGGAACAACCAAATAATTTCAGACCAATGTACTATGTACCTATTTGCAATAGAGCCATGCATCAGTATATTTTATATGTACACATCCTAAAATAACGAAGCCAAAGGGTAATTTCCACCTGGGCACGCTCTGTAAAAATAAATGGCAGGAAGTCATCAGGGTAAGATGAAACTGAAACCTCCATGGTCTTTATCCCCTCTTACTTGCAGTGTTATAAGTGGGACAGCAAATAAATATAAAGCTCTGGCCTTATACAGGCAGGAAGTAACTTATTGGAGTTAAGGAGAATTTTTGAGCTGGGTTGGATTTGAATAGGTGCCGTAGACATGAATTGTTGTAGTGTTGCCCAGGCCCCTGAACCAGACACTCAACCCCTATAGGTATTTTTTAACTTACTTTATCTTTCTTTCTTCCTGCCTCAGTCCCAGGAAGAAGTTTGTGATTTGCTGCATGCTGCTCCCTTCCAAAATATTTTGCCCAGGGTCTACATCAAAGGTAAGCTGAGAGGGAAGCACTGGACAGACTCAGAGGTCTCTGCCCACAAGCTGTTTCTCTCCCATTTCTGCTGAGGTTTAGTTCTGGCCCTGCTTCCCCCTCAAAATAGATAAGTGGATACAGCCAAAAGTCAGGTAGAAACAAATGCCAAGGGTGCATTTTCTGTAGCCTAGTTACAGACTGAAACCTTAGTCAGTTTGGGGGTTCCCTTGAGGTTTTAAAGCCATTTCACAGCCTCTTTGGAGAATGACAGCATGAAATGTCCATCTCAACAGGAGTGATCAGTAACAGGGACATGCTTTTGGACATGTGTGATTAAGCTGCTGCTGAGACTGCAATCGCACATCCCTCCCTTCTCTGCATCGCTGGTTCCCTCATTTGCTGTTGGTTTGGCTCACTGATCCAAAGTCTCGTTGGATGGTTGCTGGGGGGCAGCTCTGAGCAAACTCGGCGGAAATTGCGGGTCTCCACTTCCTTCTCTCATTTCACTGTTTGCTGCTCGCTTGACAGAAGGAGAACGCTTGGAGGTGCGCATGAAGCGTCTCGAAGCCAAGTATGCCCCACTTCACCTGGTTCCCTTAATAGAGAGGCTGGGCACTCCGCAGGTAAGGATTTCATTGAAAGGGATGGCTGTTGAAAATTCGTAGCAGTCCCCAGATGGCTTGTTTGGCCTTGGGAAAGCGATCCTTTTTTTTTTTATTTTATTTTATTTTTTTTCAAACTTCAATTGGACAAGAAAATCAGAATCCTTGCCCTAGCAGACACTTTGAAGGGAAATTTGTGAGCGGGTCCAGAGATGGTGTGTTCTGCCTCTGGTCTGGAGACCTGGCAGGGAGCTGTAAGGCAAGCACGCTAGAAGCCAGCTCTGAATAAGAACAACTCTGAAAAACTCTTCTCCATTTTGAAAAGATGGAGAATTGCTGGAGTGGTTTGAGGGGAAACGCTGCAGGGCTGCCCCTGACTTAATCAATTGCCATCACTTTTGGGGATCCCATTTTAGGGCTGCAGTGTGGTTCATTTTTAAGCTCATCCCTGTCAAGGAATACATCTGAGAATGGTTTCCCTCCTAGCACATGCTTCGAGCTTCAGCACATGCTTAAAATTATGGCTCCATTTAAGTGTCTTCTTGAGGTGGGTCTCAGCTTGGAAAAGTTCTCTTGTGCAGAAATTGAGTACTGTTAAAAATACCTCCGTAGACTGATCAATGCAATGGGCAAAATTTAAGCTCCATTGATATCAATAGCCAAACTTCCACTGCCTACTTAGTGGGGTTGATGGGATAAAAATCATTCAAAGTATTAAATGAATCAACACCCTTTTTCTGTAATGTACTGCCGAGGGAATGGAACACTCAGTTGTATGAGGTGACAGATCTATGGCAGGCAGAAAGTTGTTGATGATTTTCTTGGTTTTTCTGATGGATCAAGGACATTTTGAACTTTGCTTCATTGGAAATCATATGAAACAAAGAAATTGGCTGGATAACTGAGGGCTTTTTCTTACTTTGTAGACACTTCTCTCATCTTCCCATTGGCTTCCTTTTAAAGGAGACACTCGAGAAAAAGAATTCACCTCTGTGTTTTTGTGTCTTTGTGTTGGTCTTTCTATCTCTCCTTCTTTCCATGCAAAATCATCATTGAAATCTGCTATTAGAGTCCACTCGTTGCTTATCCCTGCTGTAGTTATGATGGTGATGAAAACAAAAGGTATTTCATGTCCCGCTAAAAATTAATTTTTCTGTAAACTGTTCCCATATTCATCACGCAGGTACAGTTGAGTACCGGATCTTTTTTGAGATCAGATGTAAATGAACACAAGAGTCACTTTCTGTAGGTGCCTCCATAGCGTCTAAGCTTGCTCCGTATGCAGTTTTGGACATGCATTTTGGAAATGCAGTTTTGGACACAGGCCATATGGGAGTTTTTTTCCTGCAGAATGCGTAAGTGCCTTTTAGCAATTGTCCAGAATCTGAGCAGAAGTTGCCTGCTAGATGCCTCTCCCAAAAGGTGGCCCTATGCATTTCATACAATTACATGCTGTGAAGGGGCTGTGCCAGAGGCTGCTGTGGTTAGTGGGGATCTATCAGTCTTTGCAGGCTTTAGGAACGGTTCTTGCAAGCTTGCCAGTTAACAAACTGTAAAAGAGGTATGGCACAACTGGATTTGTGCAATGGCAGGAAAACTGTCAGTAATTGTTGTAAATAATTGCTTTGCATTGGAAATCCAGAAGCAGCTGTTTGATAGGTGATTCATAAAGAACCAGGGGGGTCAAAGTGGTTCATTAAAGGAATCCTCTCCCTTTTAATGCTGATCATAGGGGTATTTAATAAGGGATTTTCAAAAGTGCTTGGTCAGTCTGATTTTTTTTCACTGGAAGTAATGGGAGCTTTTCCTTTTGAAGACAGAGAGGATAGTTGAGCCAGCACACTGGCATCATTTGACAATTTATCTCGAGAGCACCCTCCCTCTCCTGGTCTTAGAAATCAGTGAGACCCCAGCCTGTGAGGCACATCTGGCCACAAGACTAATAGTTCTCCAGCTGCCTTTACCATGTTAGATATCTACCCAATGGTAGTAGTCCTGTATCAAAGACTGGTCTTATGGTGATGAATTTTAGAACAAAATTCTGTCTGTGAACGTGCATAACTGAGTGGTACTACATCCTTTGAGAGCTAGATGCATCCCTTTCTAGATCAAGATTTCTTCAGAAACAGCATACTACGATCATTGGGCTATTTTGTTCTCAAAAGTACCTCTTCTATCACTATATCTTACCAAACAGTAAAGCTAACACCTAATTTATATTTGAAATGGTTTTACTTCTACTGTGTCCCCATTTTGCCATCCTAGACTAGTGTATGCAGGTGCTAATCTGTACCCATAAGAGCTTGGAGCAGGTAGTAGAGAGAAAGCGTACAGCCTTTAGCTATAAAAGCAAGCTGGGTAAAATAAATCTTTACTTGCTAAGTAAACATATGCAAGTGTGTGCCATGAAACCGGTGATATGATTCCTGCGTTTGACAGATCTAGGGGTCCCAGACCCAATCTGGCCTCTGCACAGCAATACAGCTTTCCCTTGATATTTACTATTAGTTGAACATTAATTGATGCGAGGTGCCCAGAACGTCCTTGAAATTGTGGCACAAGCAGGAATTGTAATGCTTCTGATTTCAATAGCCACCAAACTTAAAAATGCTTTAGGTTGCTGCCAGCATAAACTAATAGTCAGGAAAGGGGATGTGCAGGCACATTCATGTTTTTTTTGAATGGAATAAAGATGACCCAAGTAAACCCAGCATAATTCATGTTCTTAATGTCTGGCCAGGACACGTGCCTGCCTGTTGTACCAGATGCTCTGAACCCCCATCGTGATTCTAATCGGGATGATGTTTTTATAGGCATTACAGGGACAGCTGGAAATGGAGCAAATGCTTAAAAATTATTTAAAGCTCCAGGAAGTCCTCTGGGATAGGCAGGGGGGTTGGTAAATGTCAGGCTTGCTCTGCATGCCTGTGCCAAAGTGGTGAGAGGGATAAAGGGCTCTGCCTGTGGGGCCAGGGTGCCGTGGCAGCCGCTCATCTCCCAGGGTGAGCGCGGCGGAGCTGGAGTCTCCCACAGCCACGGGCATGGCTCCAACAGCACACAGCTCCCATTTCCCATGTTATTTTTGGCAGCACTGCAAAGAGAAGTCAGTAATGCCGCTGGAAATGGCAAGAAATGGGGCAGCTAAGAGGATATCGGGGCAGCCAGCAAACTCCACGCTTGCACCCCAGCCCCACTCAGTGAGCTCAGTGCTGCCATGCCAGGGGGACACTCTGCTTGTTTATTTAAAATACACACACCCCCTTCTTTTTTTTCTCTGGGGGAAGCAATGGGGCTGAAATGAAGTCAATTCTCTTCTAATTTTCCTCTAGTGTAAAAGCCAAATGAACTCCATCCAGTGGAGCCATTCCAGATTTGTACATGTAAATCTGAGCGGGGATGTCACAGAAATTCTCCACACGTGTAAAGCGTCCACATCTGGAAAAAAAAAAATTATTTTACTTTCTTGTAAGTGACAGGTTTTCCAGTATTAAGGTTCCGGTGGCTTCTCATTTTCCTCAGAGCTTTTTCACCCTAACTACTAAAGAAATAAAGCAAGCCATAGGCTATCTACATTTTAAAGAGATGATGGCAATGTCCTGGGAAGCAAAATGTCCCTGTTCTCTCCTGTTTTATTTTCATAATCTGCAGAAATCATGACATTAAAACCCAGCAACACTGAGTAGCACTAATAGAACAGCATGCTAGCAGAATTAAGGATCAGTATTTCTGTTCAGCTTTGCCTTCAACTTTTGTTTTCTGACGTAGGTAGTTATTTCAAAAGATACTTAGGTTGGTGAAATATAATTGAGCACAATATTAAGTCTTCTTCCGTTTGAGGGATGAGTATTCTCTGGTGGGGAGTGCCATAGGAGCAGCCATCAGAGGTAAGGTTGGACCTTGCATGGGATGTGTGTTAACTTTGAAAGAGCCAGGGAGACCGGGAAGCATTAAGTCCAGCGAGAGGGTCGGTCTGTATTACATTGTCACTTCTGTTTCTTTGGTTGTCCTCCTCCTCAGCAAATAGCTATCGCCCGGGAGGGTGACTTGCTGACCAAGGAGCGGTTATGCTGCGGGCTGTCCATGTTCGAGGTGATCCTGACGCGAATTAGGAGCTACCTGCAGGACCCGATCTGGCGTGGGCCGCCCCCGACAAACGGGGTCATGCACGTGGACGAGTGCGTGGAGTTTCACCGGCTCTGGAGTGCCATGCAGTTTGTGTACTGCATCCCCGTGGGCACCAACGAGTTCACTGCAGAGTGAGTGTCCGTCGGCCGGCTGCTCATGAGCTAGCGGGGCCGGCAAACCCCCGGGATGCCCTCAGCTGCAGCGACAGCCTCAGCCAGTGTTGAGGTAGAGGGGGAACGTGGATCCTTGATGAAAGGACCTTGTGGTGCGTGGACATAAAGAGATGCCCAGAGAGCTTTCTATTGGAACAGCTGGGGAGAAGAGCACTGTAAAGGGACATGCCCAAGGTGACATGCAGAAGGAGATGGGTAGATGGGCCAACAATCCAAGTCAGGGGCTAGGTCCTGATCCATCTTACCCTGTGATGCACGCTGCACAGCCTGGCCCTGGTGTAATTCTGCATATCTCCTGAGTTCGTTTCCTCTAGGTATATACCTACTTTCTAGGAGTAGGACTGAATCTGATTTCCCTAGAAATTCACCAAGGAAAGTTCCTGGTGCCATGGTAGGACTTCTCTTACCTAACTCTATCCTGTTATCTCTCCCCATCACTCTGTCCTCCTTCTAGGCAGTGCTTTGGAGATGGTCTGAACTGGGCAGGTTGCTCTATTATTGTTCTCCTTGGACAGCAACGGCGCTTTGACCTCTTTGACTTCTGCTACCACCTGCTGAAGGTGCAGAGGCAGGATGGGAAGGATGAAATCATAAAAAACGTGGTAAGTTGAACGGTGAGGTCCCAAAGGACCTGAACGAGCACACTTCTCTCTCTGTTTTCTGTCTTGCTTTGTCCAAATGCATAAATTACAACCATGCCTGGTGCTACTCTTACTCAGACTGGACACACTTGCTGTGAGATTTTCATCTGCAGTATCAGCAGAGAGGCCAAGGTTTTAATTGGCTTGACAATCAAATCTTTTTTCTCCCAAAGCTTTTCCCTTCTTCCTGGGGTTGGGAAACTGGAGCTGCGAAGCTAGTATTTCCAGCAACCATCCTGTGATCTCAGTGGCTTTATCAATAAGCAGCTGGGAGTCTAGACTTTAGAACGGTTAACTTAGGACCACTCACTGACCTTGTTAATGCTTTGTCTTGAGTCATCAAACCCTATAATGAAGTGAGTCAGCAGTCCCTGGAAGGTGCTAAGTGGAACTGTAACATGTGTTATAGCTGCTTTGCTTTAGCAGAGGTTTCCATCAGCAGGGCAGAGGTACTGGTACTTTCTAGCTGGTCAGATGACATAAGACTCTCTTCATCTACTGTTTTTCTCCCTCACCATCCCTCCAGCCCTTGAAGAAGATGGCCGACAGGATCAGGAAATATCAGATCCTGAACAACGAGATTTTTGCCATCCTGAACAAGTACATGAAGTCAGTGGAAACAGACAGTTCCACAGTGGAGCACGTGCGCTGCTTCCAGCCCCCAATCCACCAGTCGCTGGCCACCACCTGCTAGTGTGGACACGGACCCCGCGCAGGTTGGGAAGGGAGAAGGGACTGAACCCAGAACAGCTGGGAGGTGTAAACTCAATGGTGTGAGACCTGGCAACAAAGTAAGACTGTGTATGCCTACTACACACGAGGACACATCTTCCCATCCAGCCCTGTTTGAGTGCATGTTCTTCTGTACCATCCCTGTGATCGGTTTTACTTGTAGCTTTTGGACTTGGGGGTGGGTGGGGGCGGGTGGGCGAAATGTGCTTTTCTTCCATGAAGTGGTCCGGTTTTTCCCTGTGATTCATCCAGTCGAACACATCACTCTGAAGCCATATTGCAGCCCCAAACATGGGGGTCCTGGTGGAAGAGCTCCATGCTTCCACAGCACTGGGAGCCAACTTCCACTGCAGAAGCAATGGGGCAAATCAACAGCCCCAATGACACGTGCCACCAGCCGTGGAGCAGGAGGGTCTGAAGGCCCCTGATTCACTCTACTGGGGGGAAGAAGGGATGAAGGCAGGATGTCACCTGAGGCAACACCCTGAGGATCAAGTGATGGGCACAGAGGAGCCATCAGGCTGGTCTTGGATGGCTGCGTGCCCCAGGCTGGCGCCAGCTTTGTGCTCTCTGCCACGTCACTGGCCTTTCTAACATCTGTTTAAGGGAGCTTTGGGTTTCAGAATAGCAATGATGTAATCGCCAAGTAACTCCTCAGCACTTCAGAGAGCTGGGGAAAGAGAAAATGGCCTGTTTTTTTCCCTGCTATGGGACATCTGCTTATTTTAATGCAAAAGATTCTGCCCCGAAGACACATCTTCCATGGACTAAACAAGATTTCGTTTGGACTACAGAAGAGGCTGCATTCATGTGAATGTACTCTTGAACACATTCATTTGGGTGGAAATAATCACTGGTCCTGACAGGAGGCAAGTGTAGTGACCTCGAACATACATGATCTTTGATCTTCAGCCAAGGATGAGAGCTGGGGTGTGTAATTTGTGTATGTTCTGGAATGCTATTTTCCCTTGTTTTAGACAAATTCCTCGTGGCACAGTGACCAAGTATCTTTCTTCAGAGAATGGTGTCTATCAGCAGGGCTTAGGAAACTTCCCATCACTCAGAAATGATGTGATTGTTTAGAAGAGGTAAAATACAGGATAAGCACTAAAAAATACCCAGAATTTTCCAGATTTAAAGGCATTCAGAGGGAACACTGGAGTACATTTCCTTTTCCCACTCAGCTAATCTAAGATTCCTGTATACTGAGAACAAATTCAGTAGGAACTTCAAGGAGGATTTCATAACTCATGGTCTTCCCTGCTTCCCCTCAGTAGTGTCATTGAAGTGAAAAAAAAGCTTGTGCTTGAAGTTAAAGTTTTACTGGCAAAAATCCATGTGCTCCAAGAGAAAATGATGCTAGCCTCACCACTGGCAATATTTTAATTTCTCAGCTTTAGCCAGGTCACAGCAGATAATTGCTGTTACAGTACACAGATGTGATAATACATATTCCTCTCATGCATTTCATCATGCCTTGTAAACTGCATGCTATTACAGATGTTAAAAAGGCAGAGCCTGGGCATTTATTCTCTCAGAGGGAACATATAATTAATTAGTAGAAATGTCCCCGCTGGAGTATTTTGTCTTAGGAAACAACAGCCAGCAAACTACTACCAACAAGAGGAGATCTTGCTGGGTGGGATGAATTTGTTCTCCCAGACACTCACAACCTTCTCCCTTGATAATCAATAAATTCCCCACACGTGAAAAATGCTGGACATTTTTACACCTTGAGTTTCCTTTAATTACCGAGACAGACACTTAAACTGCAGGGAGGAAATTTTGCGGCACAGTAATCTGAAAATAAAATGAAATCTCAGGAAGTCTGGCTGAATCTTTGAGTGGCAGGGAAGGACCCAGCCCAGCAAGGCAAGTTGTTTCCTCCATGTCGCGAGGAAGAGCAGCCAAAGAGCATCTGGAACTTGATGACACTGCAGAGCTCTTGCTCTCTATTTACTTTTCCACTAAGGATGTCAGTTCTGGTTTTCCATCATGTTCTAACACTTCTACACTACTGGAGTGAGGGTATCTACAGATAATATATTTTTAAAAGGAAGAGGAGAATCAAGCACTTTATTTTTTGTGGAAAACAAGATACAAGGAAGATAGATCCAACCAAGATCCTATTTTTCCTGGCGTAAAGAGTAAGTGCTTGTTATTTTGGTATGAAAGTGTTGCTGAAAAGGTGACACGAGTCCCTGTCTGGCTCTCAGAGCCACCTTGGCACAGCACAAATTCAATGTCCTACTGCGTCTGACATGTTAAGGGATGTTGGAGTCTTTTCAGAAACCAGCATGAGCAAGAAGTTACTACAAAAAGATGAACTGTACCACACGGCCCAGTCTCAGCTACCGAGACAAAATAGGATATAGTAAGGTGAATTTAAATGCCTGTTTTCATCTGTTTAGGTCTGGAGTGAGTCATGAGATGTTTTACCTAAACATGAATATCACTTTGCATTCTTTTGCTGTAGTTCTGCCATAATAATTCTCTGAAACGCTGCAAAAGATAGTTGCATGTACTTGAAAGAACAGGTAGATGAAATCTGTTTGTTGCCCTCAGATTTACTGGCAAAAAATCCCTTCAGATTCCAAGGGATTAAATGTTTTGAGCAAAATGTCCAAAGTGCATGAACAAAATGTAAAGTGTTTTTGACTGTAGAGTGTATGCAGATGTTTTGCCTTGTTGCTCAAGTAGTATGAGATATCAGCTAGGAATAACCTTATGGTCTTCATTTCTGAGATTTGATGTTATTGTCCTTTTATTATCTAAAGGATGCAAATAGTCTGTAGCTTCAGTTCTCTAACCTTCCTTGACCATATATGAGAAAGAGGTCCAGGCTTAGGTCTTTAAAGAACTCCATGAAAATGGAAATTTTTTGCCTCCTATCCTTTTTTTAATGTCATAATTGTTAATGGAAATAAGGAGCAAATTTGCAACAGTAAGGCTAAATAGTAATAGATGGCCACGGCGTCAGGCATATTCTCCACACTTGCAGACTTTCTGCCAAGTTTGGGTGTCTTCCTTGCAGACATGCTCTAATCCTATAGTTTTCAGCCTTTTACAATCTGCAGACCCCTAATTTTTTTTTCCTAGGGAAATGTGGACCCCTGTCTGGATACTAAGTCCACTGACTATGGGCTTGCTTTTTACCTACATTTTCCTGCTTACTCTGAAGTATTCTGCAAACTCCCCAGCATTTACCTGCCACCATTTGGAACGTCTACTTCAAAGACAAGTTATTGGCTCGATACAGGAATTACAGGGGGAAGAAAGGATGGCCTGTGTCATGAATGAAGTCAGACTAGATTATTTTAATGTTCCCTCCAGCTTTGACATATAAAATGTGACTATTGGTAGCACACATGCCTTTCTTGGATGATGCTACACTTGACTTTCAATGATACAATAGAAAGGGGAAGCAAAGTAGTTCAAGCTCAGCACTTCAATGGTTTTCCTTTTAAACTCTGACAGCACTTATTAGCGTTGAACAACATGTTAGTCCTTTTTCTCCTGCATTACTCCAGTCCAGTAGGTTCATGTGTGTTTGAGAACAAAAGAAAAAAGAATTGAAGGTGTAAAAAAACCAAGAAAATATTCTCCAAAACTCTTGTCAAATGTACCATATTTGTATGAAAAGCTGCTTGAGTTATTTTGTACAACAAATTTTATTTATGGTGGGGTATATTTACGCTCGTGATCTGATACGGTGTTAAATTTTTGATCCATATTTGCTATGCAGCTGAAGATGATATTTTGGGTTTGTATTATTATTTTTTGCTGTTGTTCTAAAATTCAGCTAACAGAAGCTTCCATCTCCATTAGAAACGCTTCTGCAAGAGTAAAGCATCTGGTACATGGTGATATGTCCCGTAACACAGCAACCAACAGTGTGTACAACAAATGTGGGATGACTTTTGTGATGAAGAGAAATAAAAATTGGGCTCATTCATTAAATGGGCAGACTTTACCTTGTGGTGTCATTATCATTGCAGTGACTATTATTTGGGGAGAGCCTCTGATTGCACCTGGCATAAAGAAAAAAGCTAAGAGGAATAATGGCAGCATTTTGTTGATAAAAACATCAAGCTTTTGTCAAAACCAAAGAAAGAAAATGAAGCTTTGTGGCCAACACCAAAACAAACAAACAAATTTTCTGATAGGAAAAGTTAATTATTTTTTGAGACAAACATCCCTCCACAACAAATTTTCATTTGAAAACTTGTTTTAGTATAAGAGGACTGGGGGAGGGAAAATGATATAATTATTTTTAATAGAATTTGACAGGCCCTACTCAAAACAAAGCTAAACTGAGGAGCTAATTTCCTCTCATTACCACAACCTTGTCAACTCAGCTGGGGCCTTTTTGTTCCAGGAGACTCTCCTTGCTATTTCTTTCCAAATTTCCATTTGAAACCATTCTTAGGTTTGTGTTAAAAGCATCTGCAGAATGAGCAGTAGGAACCGAGGGGAAAAGACCTTCTGGGAGCTGAGGAATTAGGGTGAAACAACTGACATGGATCTCTGGGAGTGCGAGCACCTATGTTTCATCAGCTCTAGACAAAATACTGTAACTGATGTTCCCTTTTATAGCTTCTTCCCAAGGTTTCCTCATGGGAACAACTTCCTAGCTTAAGAAGAATAAAACCACAATGATTCTTCACATAAAATTGGAAGTGAACTTTATACCATGATCAGACAGCCCTGTTGATCTTTCCGATGTGCTTTAAGTCACGGGACACACGATGTGCCTGCAGCTTTGTGTGTAACACACTGCTGTGGAGGACTATTTGCCTGATGGTTGAAAGTTGCCCAATGTTTACTGATTTCAACACGGTTCTGCAATGGGGAACGGCAGAGAGGACAGCAGGACTTTCTTCCTGACGCAGCCACTGATACTATGCAGGTTGTTTGGTTTTCATCCTTTTCTCCATCAAGATTTCTTTTTTTTTTCCTCCT